ACTGTCATCATATTTTTAAAACTTCATCACCCCAAGGATGAATTTCTATTTCCCAGGCTCTGCCAAGCAGCCCACACGTGGCACCCGGTCAGACACCACGAGCAGGGCTACAGACTCAGGGTCGACACGTGCATAGGTCCCGCTCAGTCTGTGGCAGCACATCGTTCCTCCCGGACCCCGGCCTGCAGCGCCCCGTCCCCAGGGGCAGTGATTGTGGTCACCTCGTAAGAGGGCGCCATGTGGGGGACTCTGGGCAACGTGAGACTCACGTCCTGGCCTTTATTACGCTGCTGACCATTGTGTCAGGTTCCCACACACACGCGGCTCAAATAAACCCACACGTATTCCATTCCAGTCCACAGTCCAGAGTATGATAACAGTTTCACTGGATTGGAATCCAGGTGTGGCAGGACCACAGGCCCAGGGCTCTCAGGGTCTGAATGCTTCTGTGCTCCCAGAATTCATATTTGGAATTCCTAGGATAATGATGTTAGAATCGGGGTCCTAGGCGGGTGCTTAGGTCATGAGAGTGGAGTCCCTCATGAATGAGGTTGGAATCTTTCTAAGAAGCCCCAGAGAACATGCCTGTCCCCGTCCACCAGGTGGGGACCCAGAAGGAAGGTGCCTGGTGTGAACCAGGAAGCGGGCCCTCACCAGAAGGCAGCCTCACTGGTGTCCTGACCTGGGGCTTGCAGCCTCCAGCAGTGTGGGAAATAAAGGCTTGTTTACAGACCACCCCACCTGAGCTCCTGTCATGCCCCCTGAATGGATAAAGTCAGGGACAGTCTGCTTTGTTGCCGTGTCCTGTCTAGAGCTTCACTGCCTGCATCACTGGCTCTCAGCCACTTCCTTCATCTGCACAGCCCAGCAAAGCACTTTCCATCAGTGGTCACTTCTCCCAGGGTCTGACGTCCTTGGCCCTCCTCTGAGGAACACAGTTGTGGTTTGAACTGGAGCCACATGATAATCCAGGAAAACCCAAAATTTCTAGACCTCTAAATTAGTCACATTTTCCAAAGTCCCTTATGCCATGTGAGATGACATTCATAGACTCAACGAATGATTCAGACAAACACAGTCCACCTTCAGCCCTGCAAATACATCCATTCCACAGGCCCATTACACTTAGCAAATCCCAGAAAGCCTCCAAAATGTCAACCTAAGAATTGACACTAAATTATAATGTCAATTATAATAAAGATTACAGCGCAAAGGTGGACTAAAGAACATCAACCGGAAGTCCCGAATCTAGTCCTCTAACTCAGCTATGCGTGAGGATTTGTGTTCTCAAATACAGCACTAAGACAGGCATATGTCAGCTACAAGGAGTTTCACTCCGTAAAAAGGATGCATGTAAGTCAGAAGGGACCCCTGGTCCCAGTGTGCACGTGAGCTCAGTCCCTGCCATTGTGTCTGACTCTTTGTGGCCCTATGGACTGTAGGCTGCCAAGCTGCTCTGTCCATGGGACTCTCCAGGCCAAGAATACTGGAGCGGGTTGGTATTTCCTCCTCCAGGGGATCTTCCCGACCCAGGGACTGAACCCAAGTCTCCTGCATTTCCTTCACTGCAAGCAGATTCTTCACTGCTGAGCCACAAGGGAGGCCCCACTGACCCCGCCAGTGTTTAAGTCCATCCACGCAAACTCTACTAAGTTCAAGGTCTGGAAGCAATCTTCTTTGGCTCCTGTTCCAGCCTCTGGGCCTACTGATCTGGCCCTTCCTTTCCATTCCTTGCTTTGGAAGGTGGCGCACGTTTGAAGCTGAGCACCTTCACCAGCCTGTTTCCTGCTGCTGGGACCTTGAGCCAGTGCCATGACCCTCGAGTAAAACACGATTGAGGCGCAGGATCCTCTCTGTCCACTGTTGAATTTGATTTGCTAATAGTCATTGAGAAGTTTTGCTTTAAATTCATCCAAGGTATGTTTTATAAAACTCCTAGAGAAGCTTTCTGTTCCTAGACTGTTGCTCCTTGGAAGATTTTTAAATTATTATTATAAAATTCAAGTTAGACATAAATGATCAGTCTCTTCATGTTGTCTCCTTCATCTTGATTCAGTGCTGCAGGTTTTATAGTCAGGAATTCGTCCATTTCTTCTAGATTTCCAATTTGTTGGCATACAGCTGTTTGTAATAATAGCATATGATTTTATGTATCTCTGTGGTATTAGCTTTGTCTTTTCTATTTTTTATTTTTATTCCAGTAAATTCGTTTTCCTCCTCTGAAGACTGGCTAAAGATTTATGGTTTTGTTTGTCTTAGCAAAAACGACAACGACAAGAACAAGTAGCCCTCTGTTGATTTCACTGATCATTTTCACTGTTTTGTCTGTGTGTATGTGTGTGTTCGTCTCAATATTATTAATTTCTGCACTTTTTGTTATTTCCTTCCTTCCACTGCCTCTGGGCTCTTTTGGTGTTTGTTTTCTAGTTTCTGTAGGTAGTAAGTTCGACTGTTTACTTCCAGATTCTTTAAGAAGGCTGGTATCACTGTCAACTTTCATTTCAGAAATACTTGGCAGGCACAGAGTTTAGAGATAAGTGTGTGTTACTCGATCAGTCATGTCTGACACTTTGTGACCCCGTGGACTGTAACCTGCCAGTCTTCTTTATCCTTTCTAGGCAAGAATACTGGTGTGGGTTGCCATTTCCTACTCCAGGGAATCTTTCACACTCGGGGACTGAACCCAGGTCTCCTACATTGCAAATAGATTCCTTATCACAAGAGGCACATTGCACATTATCTACAGAACACTGTAGATAGAAAACCCTAAAGACTCCACACAAAACTACTAGACCACACTCATCCAGAGAGGACTGAACTCAGCAGGTCAGAGTGGGTACCAGCGTCTGACTGCTCACGGCTTAGGAGTTTCTGGGGATTCTCTGGATCCCACTTCTGATGCCATAAACTAAACCCCATAATAGACTGAGGCAGTGGAATTGGGGATGAGATCTGCTGTCTTCCAGTACCTTGAGATGAGAAGCATATTTGGCTTTTACAGGTGGTCCAATGGGATCACAAGATCAGAGAAAGTGCAGGAGAGAGGAAAGCCTGTTAGGTGATGCACACAAGACCCCACTGGCTTTGATGATGGACGAAGGTGTTGAGCTGAGGGATGAGGACACATCTAGAAGCTCAGTGACCGGGATGCCAGAGGCCCACAGTTCCAGGGTCACCCTCAGGAGTCCTGATGATGGTGCATACCATCTGGGACATTTGGTCCCACAAACTGAGGCAGAGTGAGCTGGGACCTCTCCCCAGAGCACATCCCGCTGTCGGGAAACAGGATCTGTTACAGAAGACATGCTGGTGCAGAAGTGTCATGGCCAAAGCCAGACCAGAAAGGGCTTTTCATAGACAGTAGGTTCTACCTCAGTCAGTGTCCAGGTGAGATCCCTGTGCCGAGGAAGAGCTGACCTGCCCCAGACGCGAAGGGGTGAGGTCTCAGGGCAGGAGAAGGCGAGGGTCACACGGACAGGGCGTCAGTCAGCGATGGGGACCCACACCGGTCTTTCCTGGCTCCAGGAGAGATAACACCACTGGTGGCAGCAGTCACCACCCCCGGAAAGCCCACCTAAAGTCCAGACACGCGGTGACGGCCGTCATCGCCAGTCTCCATGCTCACAGCCGGGATGCAGGCGCGAGGCCACAGCCTCAGGGCCACAGGGAGACGGGGGAGCTGTGCTCTGCTCTCCAGCACTGCTGACTCAGAGGACCTCAGGCTCAGTCCAGGACACGGAGCCCCTGGGCTCGGGAAAGCTGCTCTCAGTGGGGTTTTCAAGGGAACCTGCTTCCTGAGGAGGGGCTTTCCTCTGACCATGCCGCCCTCACACTGCACGCCGTTCACTGTGAAGGTTTACCTCCACGAACCATGCGTGTCCTCTCACCACTGTGGTGGGGACTATGTTCCCTGAGCTCCCATCTCACGGCCGGGACACAGAGAGGAAGAAATAAGCACTTGGAGGAGTGCGGAGTCTGTGCAGAGTGACCAGGACACCTGCCCAGCACGTCAGAGCACTAGGAGCTCCCGGGCGCTGTCTGTCCTTAGTAATTGGTAGCCTTAAAGTCCGCAATGTCCACCCTCCAGAAGCAGGTCCTGAGGTCCACAAGCTCCTGCAGACACTCAGTTGTGCATAGGATCATGCAGGACAGCCCACTGGGCAAGTCAGCCATGTGGGAAGATGAGCTTCTCAGCAGAAATGACTACTTTGTCCAAAAAGTTAACTGCATGGTTAGTACTTATGAACATGCCACCTCCAGAGAAACTCTTGGTTTCAAACTGCTTCAGATGAAGAAATGGCCTTGCCTGTTAACGGAAATAAAAAATCCTTTGGAGTTATGATAAATTTAAATTATACTGAGTTTTTTTGAATGCAATTATCACATAATCTCTCCCTCCTGTTTTAAAATCCTGTTCATGAACATAAGCTAATGCAGAAAAGAACAATAAATAAGAGTTTCTGACAAGTATGCAGACCTTGAATCTGAGCTGTTTATTTGACAAATGAAGAGATGAACCTCCATGGGATTACTCTCTTCCCAAAATCTGTGCTTGATATTTGACCACATCTTTTTTCCTGATGAGCCGATCCCCATCCTTTCATTCCTGGACACAGAGGCCCGGGGGCATGGGGAGGGGGGTCTTCAGGCAGGGACTGAGTTCTCTCAGGGCACAGTCAGCACCTCCTCACAGGGGGAGCCTCATAGACAGGACCTCCTTTCATTGTTTTCTGTTTTTATGCAGAGGCCCCTCCCACATGCAAAGATCCGCTCAGGTCACAGGGTGGAAACAAAGCACCAGGTCACTTAAATTCAGGCTGCTCCTCAGGCTTGAAGAGATTTCCGGGAGCGGTGACTCTCATCTGCTCGAAGATGAGCCCACTGTGGACCTTCCTGTTCCTGCTGTCAGCTCCCAGCGGTGAGTGTCTCTGGATCAGACATGGGCACGTGGGGAAGCTGCATCTGAGCCCGTGAGTCACCGTGCTTCTCTCTGTCCACAGGCGTCCTGTCCCAGGTGCAGCTGCAGGAGTCGGGACCCAGCCTGGTGAAGCCCTCACAGACCCTCTCCCTCACCTGCGCTGTCTCTGGATTCTCACTAAGCAGCTATGGTGTAGGCTGGGTCCGCCAGGCTCCAGGGAAGGCGCTGGAGTGGGTTGGTGGAATCAGTAGTGGTGGAAGCACAGGCTATAACCCAGCCCTGAAATCCCGGCTCAGCATCACCAGGGACACCTCCAGGAGCCAAGTCTCTCTCTCACTGAGCAGCGTGACACCTGAGGACACGGCCGTGTATTACTGTGCAAGAGACACAGTGAGGGCAAGTCAGAGTGAGCCCGGACACAACCCTCCCTGCATGGGCGCCCCGGACCACCAGGGGGCGCGCGGGACCCACCACGTTCAGGACTGCGCCCAGGAGCCTGTGCCCCGGGGGCGCCGGGAGGGAACTAGTGGTGGAATCTGGTTTTCTCGTCCCGCCCAGCGATTCCCTGGAAACCTCTTTTGTGTCCTCACTGTTCCATTATTGTGGCTTATACTGCTTTCATAAAACCATACATAGTTTTTATTTTTCGTTTAAGTATAGTTGTGTGTTTGTGTATATATGTCTGTGTGGAATATGTACCAACACCCCCATGTAATCCAATCGTTAGAATTGTGTGTTTTCTCTGTTTTGTTTTTGTCTTGTCAAAGACGCTGAATACAACTCTGAGGCTCACCGTCATTTTTCATTTAAGTCCAAAGTCATCAAATCTAGTGAATGACCCAAGAAGTCCCAGGAAACCTTTAAATATTACTTTTTGTTGTTTCTGTAAATGTTCAGTGAAAAGACACATCTTCCTGCTTTCAGTCTACCTTCACAAATACTTTGAAGTCTGCAAGTTGTAGTGTTCTAGACTGTAATCTGATGTCCCACAGGAAATTATCCTCATTATACATGGATTCCGTTTTTGCAAATTCACCTACTTGCTAATTTACATCTGTACCCCAAATTTGACCCCAAAGTGGATGATGACCTTCACTATATCCATATGATGACCTATATCCATATCCCCTCTCAGCAGGACTGTGATAAACTTCATTTCCTCTAGTCTCTCACAGGCTGGTTGTGGCCACCTTCTCTCGTCTAAGCAAGGATGTTGCAAGAATGTCCACAAGTCCATCCAGGTGACTGGCTTAGTATAGTATGGAACCAATAAAAAAGGAAAAGTAGCGTGGAAAGTAAACTTTTGGACATAAAACAGATTGCCAAAGATGAATTTATTTAGGACCAACCGAGAACTACAAATTGGAGTCTGCAATTATAAAAAGTCCTCTGCAAGTCCCCAGTAGAAGTGGAGAGACTGTCTTTTGTACCAAAGTAAAAAGCGAGGTGGGAGGGCTCTTGTAACTAAAACTCTGTGGTTTTTCTTTACCTGAGTTTTTGGCAGAAAAGAAGAGGTAACTTTGTTCTTGTTGGATTCAGGGATTGTCCAAGGGCATGAAAACTCCTCCTCCTGTCCACTGGGTTTTATTTAGTTGTACTTTCTCTTTCCTCTCCGCCTCCTCATTCTTATTCTAATTCTTTTACATTTTCCACTTTTGGTCAAGGGCTTCCAAGGTGACATTACTGGTAGGAAAACAAAAACAAAAACCGGGGGAGGAGCCAAGATGGTGGAGGAATAGGACGGGGAGACCACTTTCTCTCCTACAAATTCATCAAAAGAATAACTGAACGCAGAGCAAACTTCACAAAACAACTTCTGATCGTTAGCTGAGGTCATCAGGCACCCAGAAAAGCAACCCATTGTCTTTGAAAGGAGGTAGGACAAAATATAAAAGATAAAGAGCGATACAAAAGAGCTAAGGACGGTGATCCATCCCGGGAAGGGAGTCTTAATAGAAGTTTCCAAACAACAGGAAACCCTCGCACTGGCTGGTCTGGGGGAAGGTTTTGAATCTCAGAGGGCAACCTGACTCGGAGGGGAACAATAAATAAAACCCACAGATTACGTGCCTAAACGCAACTCCCAGCAGAAAAGTACCCCAGACGCCCGCATCCGCCACCAGCAAGTGGGGGAGGAACGGAGAGGAGCGGGCAGCATTGCTTAGGGTAAGGACCGGGCCTGAGTGCCCTGAGGACAATCAGAGGGAGCTTTTGTGAGCTACCAACTTAAACTGTGGGACAGCAAAAGAGAGAGAAAATTAACCTGCCCGAACACACTGCTGGCTCTTCGCACAACAAAGGGACGAGGCAAGCCCAGAGAAGAGCTCGCAGGCTGCGGACTGGCCCAGCCCCGCCGGAGGCTGGAGGCAGTGGGGAGGGGAAAGGGGCAGGCTCGGCCCCAAGGGCCACATCCCCTACCGCACTGCAGACAGGCCTCCAGTTTCCAATCAAAGACCTCCTGAGAGTCTGGATGGTCTCCATCCGCCGGGAGGGTCGCGGCGAGACACAGGGCGCAGGCACCCGACCGGCGCGGGCGGGGTCTGGGGCTGGGGACGCGGAGGGCAGAAGGCGCGCCGCACCCAGGGAGCTCCTGGCTGCCTGAGCAGCTCTGACGGGGAAGGCACAAGAAGCGGGCGCAGCTCTTTCTTCCGGGCTTTTGTGGAACACCCGAGGGCTGGAACCGCGCGCAGCGCAGGGCCCGCTCCATATAGAGCAGCGGGGAGCCTGAGGAGCGCAGCGGGGAAAGCAGCGCCGGCCCCTCCCCGCAGCGCGACGGAACTAGCAACCTGAACGAGAGACCACCTCCGCCCGCCTGTGTCAGGACGGAAATTAGGCACTGAAGAGACCGGCAAACAGAAGCCAAGTAAACAAAGGGAACCGCTTCAGAAGGGACCCGTGCAACAGATTAAAATCCCTGTAGGTAACACCGACTACACCGGAAGGGGCCTGCAGACATCGAGAAGTGTAAGCTGGAACGAGGAGCTATCTGAACCTGAACCGAACCCACACTGACCGCAACAGCTCCAGAGAAATTCCTAGATATATTTTTACTTTTTTTTTAAGTAAAGAAAAAAAATTTTTTTCTTTCATTTTTCTCTTTTATTTTCTTTAAAATTCCCTATTACTCCCCCATTACTCGTTAACTTTCATTTTCATAGATTTTTACTATTTTTTTAATTAGGAAAATTTTTTTTTCTTTTTTTTTTTTCCTTTTTCTCTTCTAATTTCTACTTTTCTTTTTCTCTTATTTCCTTTTAAAGTCCTCTATTACTCCTCTACTACTCCTTAATTTCATTTTCATTACACTATAACCTTACAAAAAAAAAAAAGAAGAGAAGCCCTATTTTTAAACCGAAGTTCATATATATTTCTAAAATTTTTTTGTGTGTTTTGTCTTTTGTTTTTAATATAGTGTTTTTAAGAGTCTAACCTCTACTCTAGATTTTTAATCTTTGTTTTTCAGTATATTATATAAATTGTGGACATTTAAGAATCCAATATTCAGTTCCCATTTCTATTCAGGAGTGTGTTGATTACTCTCTCCCACTTTTGATTCTCCATTTTCTACCTCAGAACACCTCTATTTCCTCCTTTCCCCTTCTCTTCCCAATCCAATTCTGTGAATCTCTGTGGGTGTCTGGGCTACGGAGACCACTCTGGGAACAGACACCTGCGTAGGTCTGTCTCTCTCCTCTCGAGTCCCCCTTTTCGCCTCCTGCTCACCTCTATCTCCCTCCTCCCTCTCCTCTTCTTCATGTAACTCTGTGAACCTCTCTGGGTGTCCCTAACGGGGAAGAATCTTTTCGCCATTAACCTAGAAGTTTTATTATCAGTGCTGTTTAGTTGGAGAAGTCTTGAGACTACTGGAAGAATAAAACTGAAATCCAGAGGCAGGAGACTTAAGCCCCAAACCTGAGAACACCAGAAAACTCCTGACTACATGGAACTTTAAATAATAAGAGACCGTCCAAAAGCCTCCGTACCTACACTGAAACCAACCACCACCCAAGAGCCAACAAGTTTCAGAGCAAGACATACCACGTAGATTCTCCAGCAACGCAGGGACATAGCCCTGAGCGTCAACATACAGGCTGCCCAAGGTCACACCTAACACATAGACCCATCTCCAAACTCATTACTGGGCACTCCATTGCACTCCAGAGAGAAGAAATCAAGTTCCACGCACCAGAACACCGACGCAAGCTTCCCTAACCAGGAAACCTTGACAAGCCAATTGTCCAATCCCACCCACGGGGTGAAACCTCCACAATAAAAAGGAACCACAGACCTCCAGAATACAGAAAGCCCACTCCAGACACAGCAATCTAAACAAGATGAAAAGGCAGAGAAATACCCAACAGGTAAAGGAACATGAAAAATGCCCACCAAGTCAAACAAAAGAGGATGAGATAGGGAATCTACCTGAAAAAGAATTTAGAATAATGATAATAAAAATGATCCAAAATCTTGAAAACAAAATGGAGTTACAGATAAATAGCCTGGAGACAAAGATTGAAAAGATGCAAGAAATGTTTAATAAAGACCTAGAAGAAATAAAAAAGAGTCAATTAAAAATGAATAATGCAATAAATGAGATTAAAAAACACTCTGGAGGAAACCGAGAGTAGAATAACGGAGACAGAAGATAGGATAAGTGAGGTAGAAGATAAAATGGTAGAAATAAATGAAGCAGAGAGGAAAAAAGAAAAAAGAATCAAAAGAAATGAGGACAACCTCAGGGACCTCTGGGACAATGTGAAATGCCCCAACATTCGAATCATAGGAGTCCCAGAAGAAGAAGACAAAAAGAAAGACCATGAGAAAATACTCGAGGAGATAATAGCTGAAAACTTCCCTAAAATGGGGAAGGAAATAGCCACCCAAGTCCAAGAAACCAAGAAAGTCACAAACAGGATAAACCCAAGGCGAAACACCCCAAGACACATATTAAGCAAATTAACAAAGATCAAACACAAAGAACAAATATTAAAAGCAGCAAGGGAGAAACAACAAATAACACACAAAGGGATTCCCATAAGGATAACTGCTGATCTATCAAAAGAAACCCTCCAGGCCAGAAAGGAATGGCAGGACATACTTAAAGTAATGAAAGAGAATAACCTACAACCTAGATTACTCTACCCAGCAAGGATCTCATTCAGATATGAAGGAGAACTCAAAAGCTTTACAGACAAGCAAAAGCTGAGAGAATTCAGCACCACCAAACCAGCTCTTCAGCAAATACTAAAGGATCTTCTCTAGACAGGAAACACAGAAAGGTGGTATAAACGTGAACCCCAAACAACAAAATAAATGGCAACGGGACCATACCTATCAATAATTACCTTAAATGTAAATGGGTTGAATGCCCCAACCAAAAGACAAAGGCTGGCTGAATGGATACAA